CCACTCCTCGCCTCCACAATGAGATGCACAAAGCTCTGTTGATTTCCTCTCTTCCCTTCCTTCATTCTCTCCAGCTGCTTTCTTCCAGAGCTTGCATGCAGGTCCATTACCTATTTTAGTGGAATGGGAGGGACACAAGTGGTATAGATGTAAGGAAATTTTATTTTGTGTTTTGAACAAAGTTTTTTTAAGATTTATTTATTTATTTAGAAGAGGGCATCAGATCTCATTACAGATGGTTGTGAGTCACCATATGGGTGTTGGGAACTGAACTCAGGACCTCCGAAAGAGCAGCCAGTGTTCTTAACCTCTGAGCCATCTCTCCAGCCCAATTTTGTGTTTTGAAACGAAGTTTTACAGTCCAGGCAGCCCTCTAACTTGCCAGATAGCTGAGGGTAGCCTTGATCTTCCTGTCTCTACCTCCCAAATGCTGGAATTACAGGCCACCACTCCTGGATTCAATAACGTCTTTTAAAAAAAATGTTATCGGGCTGGAGAGATGGCTCAGAGGTTAAGAGCACCGGCTGCTCTTCTAGGGGTCCTGAGTTCAATTCCCAGCACCCACATGGTGGCTGACAACCATCTGTAATGAGATCTGGCACCCTCCTCCGTATACATAATAAATAAATAAATCTTTAAAAAAAAATGTTATCTCCTTCATGTATTTCTCATCTGTTCCAACCTGTTCTCCATAGTGTAGCCAGGAATCTTTTCACATGTAAATCTGACTACAAATTTCTAGTTGTTTTCTCTCTGAATTCATTCATGGTTTTTCTAGAGTGGCTTGAGACGTTTTTGGTTCCTCCAATATTTTTGGTTTGGATTCCATCATAGGCTTTTCTATATGCTGTCTCTCCTTGGACGAGCGCCCTCTTCTCAATTACTTACCAGTACTCATTTCCAGTTCTTAACTCAAACTCTGCTTCTTCAGTTTTCATTGACTCCAGGACAGGTTAAGCCTCCCAGCTGTATGTTCTCACATCCTGTTCTTTTCCTTTCCAGTGCTTGTCACAGATTATAATTAGGTATTTTTTGTTGTGACTGTTTCATTAGTAGCTGTCATCTCTAGCAGACTAGAAAAACCTTAGAGGGCAGGAAGCAAGCCTCTTTTTATACCAAAGTATCTGCAACTACAAAAGCTTGATAGCATAATGCCTTACACATGGAGACACTCAATTACGTGTGTGGGGTGCATGCATGTACAGGCCTAGTCAAGTGTCTGTATAAGTTACAACAAAGTTGACCTGGAGTGTGGTGACCTCATAAGGACTGAGTTTCCATCCTGTCAGAGCAGCCCATCCACCTCCCTCAAAGGCAGCTCTCTGGTTGGCCGCTGTCATCTGCAACATATAATAGGATATACCACCTACTTGTTTGGCTTCTGAATCATCTGCAACCACCCTCGTTCAGCAATGTGGTCTATCAGCTTTCAGCGATAGAATAATAATTGCCATTTATTCATTTGACTAATATTTATTCTGTGCCTATTCCCTGCTGCATTCAAACACTGTGTGGGTAATGGGGAAACACAGATGAATAAGGCTTCCTTATTATTCTCAAGGAATGTATGGTTTTGAAGCACATATATGCAAATTATAGCTTCCTCTGTTAAAGCACCAATATTCTGAGGCACGCTCTATGTTTTAAAGGATCACAGAGTAACTATCAAAGCACTTAGCAAAACCCTAGCTAAAAGAGGTGTGTTTCCAATGACTACCCAAGGGACATACTTTTCAAATCTTCTAATCTCTCACTTTGGATCTGTTTATACCACAAGAAAACAATTTACTCGGAGCTCTTAAACAAGTCCCCTTAAAAAATAACCATCGTTAAGTGGTTTTTCGTGTCCTTGGCTTTTATTGAACATAAGAAACAGCCATACATGTTGTCTTGAAGGCTTAATTACATCATTCACTGTTTCCCACTAAAGTCACGAGAGTCTACCTTTAGAAATAAGTGATACACAAAACAAAATGATGGTCTGTGGCCTTGGATGAACTGATTCCTTTCAGATAACATCTATTCAGCTCAACTCCGGTTTCATTTGCCCTTGACATCCAAGAAACTCAGAACTAAATTTTAAACTCAGTTATGGTCATTTAATGCCAAGATAATGGTGTTCTTTCTCTTTGGCTCTAATGTTTGTTTTGAGTTTTTTTGGTTGGTTGGTTGGTTGGGTTTTTGTTTGTTTGTTTGTTTGGTTGGTTGGTTGGTTGGTTGGTTTGGTTTTTCGAGACAGTTTCTCTGTGTGTAGACCTGGCTGTCCCAGAACTAGTTCCGTAGAACAGGCTTACAGAGATCCTCCTGCCTCTGCCTCCTGAGTGCTGGGATTAAGGGAGGGAGCCACCACTGCCTGGCTTAGCTCTAGTGTTTTATTTCTAGATTTTAGTTTAAACCACCTTCACATCTATATAGACAACAAATGTACTAGAATAAACCTACCAGGGCCTAGAGACATAGTTCATGGGTAGTGTGCCTGGCAAGGCTCGAGGTTTGAACCTCAATATGGCAATAGTAAAAAGAAAACCAGCAATTTGCTATGCTGGGCCATAATAGAACTGTTTCTTATATTTTACAAAAATAAATGTGAAAATGCATGACCTATGTTATGATCTTTTCAAGAGTTTGTAGAAATGGAAGAGGACTCAGAGAAAAACAACCAAAAAAGGACTTTAAAAAAAAAAAGCAGCAGCAGAGGACTGGAGGTAGTAGCCTCTTCTCTAACCCAAGTGTTAAGTACGTTGACAGCCATCTTGGCTATTAGCAATGAGTATCTCAAATTTGGACTATTCTGGGAAAATCGATTACAGAGATACGTGAAGCCAAATTACATGAGTCACGACCATCAATATATGAATAATTACAGAAAGGCTTTGAATTGGGGGGGGTGCAGGGCAGGTCGCTCTGTTGATGTGATTGAAAGTACTGGAGTTACTCCCCCAAAAAATAACAACCACACAGTTTCTAAAAGCAGAACCTCCCTGTGTTCTATTCATTTTGCAGAATATCAGAATCATTTTCCAGCCAACAGTGCGGCAGAGCATCTAGATGGACCGGAGGAAGAACCTTCCTGAGTTGCCAAGTCAGATGGGGAAGCCAACTGCCAAATCAGCTATGAGGGGAAGTTCCAAACACTCTGGTATCACTTGCTTCGACAGTTTAAGCCAGCGAGTTCTCTGGTAGGTTTCTTTTTTTTTTTTTTTTAAATCCTTTTTGCGTAATACATCCATTTAGTGAGCTGATTAATGGACGGGTCATCTATCTCCAAAATACATTCACTCCTAACACACCTCTTCCAATTTTGCCCATGATTGCACAGGGTTCGTGGATTAAATGAAGCCTATCCTCAGATAACCCGGCTACGCGGGTGAAGATTTCCTGGGACTCGGCGAAAAGCCCTTGATAACCCTTTAGAATCACCTCTTTTATCAGGGACAAGGGCTGCCCCAAAGCAGGTCACGCGGCCACCGGGAACCCCGGGTCTCCCTAGGTCTCTCCCATCCCCCCCCCAACTACTGCCGCGCAGGTGCGAAAGACCTCCGAGGCCACCCCGGCTGAGCCGGTGAAGGGGGGCCCCGGGAGGGGCGGGGGCGGGGGCCGTCCCAGTGTTGCTAGGCGACCACGCTGTCCGCCCAGACCGGCCCACTTCCTCCGCAGGGGGCGCCGCGGGCCGAGCCCAGGCCTGCGGACCTCCTGGAGAGGCCCTCTTCCGGCTTGCCCCCCCTCCGCCGGGCGGTGGCGCACGCCCGTGACGTCACAGGAGGCGGGGCCAGCGCGGCTGCCGGGTGCCGGAGGCGCCATTGGAGCCGGCTTGGCTTGGGAGCCGTAGCTCAGGAGGAGTTGGGTCCTGGGCCGCCGTTGTTGCCGCGTCTGCATCTGGTCCCTGGCCCCTCCGCGGGATGGCGTGCGGGGCGACATTGAAGCGGCCCATGGAGTTCGAGGCAGCGCTGCTGAGCCCCGGTTCCCCGAAGCGGCGACGCTGTGCCCCTCTACCCGGCCCCACTCCGGGCCTCAGGCCCCCGGACGCCGAGCCGCCGCCGCTTCAGATGCAGATGCCGCCGGCGAGTCTCCAGCCGCCTGCCCTGCCCGGCAGCGAGCGTCGCCTTCCAACTCCGGGTAACCTGCGCTGCTGCTGCTGCTGCTGCTGCTGCGAACTTGGCAGGAAGCCAGGCCGGGGCGTGGGGGGGTGGGGAGGGTGCGGGGGTCGCGGACGCCGGCCGAAATCACCTCAGCTCCTCATATCGGCCTTGGGAGAAAAAGGAACTGGGGTGCTGCTGGGCTCGGTTGCTTCCGGGGACGAGAGACATCCGGGAAGCCAATGGCCCCACGGTGTCGGTTTTCGGGGTTTCCTGGAGCTGGAGAGCCTGGAGGGGTGGGCACCAAGATGAGATGGGGATACCCCAGGTCGCCGAAGGCTCTCGGTGTCCCTGAACGAAGCCCCTCCTGCCTCCGCTCTACGGAACCTCCCAGCAGATCCAGCGGGCCATGGAAAATTGGATTCTGCTCACGAACCCAGCCTTGAGTGGGGAGGGAGACCGATTGGAGAGGAGGGGGCGTGAGTGTGTGCGGCGCCGCACCGTGCTGGAGCTTGTTAGGGGAGACTTGATTTCCAGAAGTCTTTAGGGACCAGGAGCCACCCAGCAGTCGTGGAAAATGATTTCAGTCTGTTTCTTAGAGGGAGGGACTGGCCATGTTTTATTGTATGGCTATTGTCTTGTCTCATGTATAGCTTGACGTGGGTAGTTCGTTGGCTAGTATTTAAGAATCCTTCGGTATACAGAGATTCTGTACCAGAATTCAAATACCTAATTCAGCGAGTTGACGTGAGTAAGGCTCTTCATTTTGGCCAAGGCAAAAGGAAGGACTCATGTGACGGCAGAGATACCTATCGTATTGCAGGAGGAGGAGGGAACATGCTTCACCATTAATATTCAGCAATTTTAAAGGGATCCCAGAAATGAGCCCTAAACCGTGGGTTTGGCCAAGTCGTTTCTTTGTATTTTTTTTTTCTTATTCCTCAAGCGTTAGCAAAGCCTGTAATCCCTTTAAATCATTTTTTCCCTCACCTCTTTCAGTCGCTAGTGCCTTTAGTTCTCATTTCCTTCTTCCTCTCCATGTCTACTCGAGGATATTTGCTGCCGCCAGCAGACCTCTCTCAAGCTGTGTTCACGTCTTAATCCTAGAATTTAAAGAAATACCGGACAATTTTTTTTTTAACTGTGACTGTCCTTTTCCCTAGACCCACTTCGCTGCGTCTTTTCCCTTGAGTTTGTTCATCTCAATAGTCATTTCCTTTGCTGATTTGTGACAGTGTCTCACTCTCTAGATTAGCCTACAACCCACAATGTGGCCCAGGCCTGTCTTGAGCTTATCAGTCCCCCTGCCTCAGTATCACAGGTGCTGCGATCACAGACTTGAAAACCATCATGGCTGATTCAAATAATCATTTCTAAATAGAATTTCACATCCATTACCTAGTCTGACCCAGAATGGAATCTTTTCAATTTAAATGCCCTGGTGACTTAATGTTATATCTAACCTTATTCACAGAATGACTGAACACTGGAAGCTTTTTATGTTGTTGGTGTGTGTGTGTGTGTGTGTGTGTGTGTGTGTGTGTGTGTGTTTAAATGAAGGGCCCCAAAAGCAGGGGGAGGTAGGGATAAGACAGGAAGATTGCTTGAGCCTAGAAACCCCACACCAGCCAGGGCAGCATAGGAGAACCCCATTTCAAAAAGGCAGAGGCACCAGGCGATGGTGGCACACACCTTTAATCTGAGGCAGGGGCAGGCAGATCTCTGAGTTCAAGGCCAGCCTGGTCTGTCTACAAAGGGAGTTCAGGACAGCCAGGACTACACCAAGAAACCTTGTCTTGAAAAAACCAAAACAGGGAGGGGGGGAAGGGGCCTGGAAATCTGTTTGTATAAAAGTTTCCTTTCTTTCTTTCTTTCTTTCTTTCTTTCTTTCTTTCTTTCTTTCTTTCTTTCTTTCTTTCTTTCTCAAGATTTATTTTATTTGATGTTTTGCCTGCATGTATGTCTGTGTAAGGGTACCATATCCCTTGGAACTGGAGTTACAGACAGTTGTGAGCTGCCATGTGGTTGCTGGGAATTGAACGTGGGTCCTCTAGAAGAGAAGCCGGTGCTCTTAACTGCTAAGCCATTTCCCCAGCCCTAGAAGTTTTATTTCTTCAGTACTTAAATTTTCTGTACCATTTGTGTTGTGGTTCAGGTGATCTCGGTTGTTTAATGACCATTGTTAAATGTATTCAGAAGACTGACTATGACAGAGTGCTGTAATGAGGCCTCTTTTGTTGTTGTTGGGGGTGTGGGTTTGGAACCCAGAGCCTCAGCCATGTTCTGGGGAAACTAAATGCCCAGAACTCTGTTAGGTTTTTTTAAGTTTTTAATTGATTAAACACACCCCAACCCCGTGTTTTTTAGTGCTTATTGGATTTTGGTTCTGTCAGTCACGAAAGAAATATGAAGTATCGGTACATTATTTAATGCTTTTTATCTTAAGTAAAAAATGCCTTCTGGAGTGGAGGGTAAAATAAGAGAGATGTTGTCAGTTGCTCTACAAATAGAATGAGCAGGTTTGGCACTCCATGCTGTCATCTCTTGATTGCACTTGAGAAGCAAAAGCAGGATTGCTACAAGCTCAGGGCCAACCTGGTCTATATAACGAGTTCCAGGCTACCCAGGTCTTACCCAGACCCTGTCACAGAACACCAAAAAACAATGACACCACCTAAAGGGAAATAAAAACAATCTCATTTTTAAATGTTCCTTCTCTTCTTCCTCACTTTTGCGGGTTAGGTGGGAGGGGAGATGTGTACACAGGCTGGTCTTGAATTCAGTAGATAACTAAGGATGACTGAGCTCTACACCTTCTGGGCTCTGGGTTTCAGGCATGTGTTGTTTGGTTTTTAATCAACCTGACTTTATTTGAATAGCATCCCACTTGTTATTGCTATGTCGCTAAGGATGAGTTTGAACTCCTGTTCTTCCTGCCTCTACCTCCTCTGTACTGGGTGGGATTCCAGACTCCTGCTACCATGCCTGCCTTAGGGCTGAGTTTTTTAGGGGTTGGGAGGTGAGACAAAGTTTCTTTAGGTAGCCCTGGTTGGCTGGAACTCAAAAAGGTCCACCTGCCTCTGCCTCCTGGGTGCTGAGATTCATGGTGTGCGTCACCATGTCCCACATAGGGCTGAGTCTTGAAAGACATTTAGTTGTGACTTGTAGTAATCCAGAAACACTGAAGAGTTTTGGGGAGGAATTTAGCCTGATGAATAACCTGGAAGCTAAAAGCTAAATAATAGAATCTAGGATTAAAAGCATAACTGTTACAAAGAAATTTGCATTTTTAAAAATAAATGCTGTTTCCTGCTTGAGGTGGTCTTGAGAAGAAGATCGCACCATTTTCTTCCTGTGTGGATTGTAATTAGAATCTTGGATAGCCCTGAAGTTGTGTGCTGCCAGTGTCCATTTGCTGTGCAGGAGGCGGTTGGAGTTCATGCGAGCCCTCTGCCCTCATACTTGTCCTTTCTTGTTTCACAGCAGTTGCTTACATCCTTGTATTGAATGAACGCTTGAGGAGTAGGACTTTAAAACGAAAGAAAGAAAAAGAAGCCTCCCTATTGTCAAGGATCTAAAGGCTGGATTTCATGGTCTTGTTAAAGGAAAACAGTGCTGTGTTTGTTCTACCATTTAGGCAGAGTTCGTTTACCTAGATTTGCAACTCCTGGACCGTACATACCATCACCGGCACTGTTACTCATTCATTCTGTGATTTTGACTCTGTTTACCTGTTTAGATAGGCATTTCCCATGTACTTTGAATAACTAGACTAAAGATTGGGAATGGCTTCCTGAAATTGCTGGTAGCAAACAAAGTAGCATTATCTACACCTCCCACCCCTGACAAATACAGTTAAAGCAAACTACACTGGAACAATTTGAGTTGAGGAATGTAATTTCCTGGTTTTTAGATAGGTTTGTGTAGCACTGGCTGGTCTGGAACTTGTTATATAGGCCAGGATGGCCTCCAACTTCTGAAGTGATCCCCCTGCCCACACCCCCACCTCCCTGCATTGGAATCACGGGAATTCATCATCATGGATGCAGTCTCTGCTTTTGTTATGGGGGGCTTTATAGTATCAGGAGAAGGAATACAGTATTATGTCACCGTATGTAAAAACTTGAAATCCACATCCTTCTGGACTCTCTTGTTTCCAGGAGTTTATAGTTGCTAGCTAGTGTTTCCTGCATGTTGGCAAGTTCAGTTTGTGCTGACTGAGAATAATCATTTGAGTCCTAGCGAACATTGTGTTATATCACCTTTCTTTATTTTTCCAGTGCTGGGATTGCATGTAAAGCCAGTGCTCTACCACTGAGCTGTAGCCACTGTCCTCATCTTTTTGGATATAGTCTTGCTGAGGTGCTTGGGCTGGCCTTCACCTTGTTGTATTCTCCAGTGTAGCCTTGATCTTGGGATCCTCTTGCCTTGGCCTCCAGAGAAGCTGGGTTTCGAGTTGGCCTCACAGGACCCAGTTCAGAAATGTTTTGGGATCATGACTGGCTTGAGAACGTGTTTGTTTTGAGACAGGGTCTCACTCAGCCCAGACTGACCTTGACCTAGCAGTGATCCTCCTGTTTCTATTTCCCAATCACAGAGATTACAGGAACGGCTACCAACCCAGCTTGTTTTTTAAGACAGTGTCTCATGTAGCCCAGACTGTTCTCAAACTCTGTGTAATCGAGGATGACTTTGGATTCCTGATTCTCCTGCCGCCCTCCTTCCAAGGCATGGGTTTGCCACCACACCCAGCTCAGAAACTTTTAAGAATTTATTTTTATTTTTAATTATGTGGGGTTT